GCATACCTCAAGGTGATCGAGCTGGTAGGTACAGCCTGGTCCGACCTGCACTGTCATACTTGTGGCGGAGATATGACGAATAGTGGGGGATCATTGTGCGCCTTCTGTGGCCCCAACGAATATGCAGCCGCAAAATCCAACAGCGAGTTGGATTTTACGTGTTACGCGTGTCCTCCTAACACATACGCGCCGAAAGGATCTATCGGCATTTCATCGTGTGTTGAGCAGCGCCCCTGTTCGATGGATGACGTGGATGAGACGTACACGACGTGTAAGGATGGCGTACGGAATGTCAAATACTCTTGGAGTGAGCCGCAGACGTGTGACTCAACACTGAAGAGCAGTATTGAGCTCCCGAAATCACAGAAAGGAGTGGAATGCGCGAGCTGCGCACGTGGTTATCAACTCTCAGAGGGAGACGAATGTGAAGCTTGCGGCGTTAACGAGGCTTTAAGCGCTTCGGGTAAGTGTGAGGAGTGTCCTGCTGGTACTGTTGTGGTGAATGCGCTTGAATTCGGTGCTGGGACTCCGGATGCGTGGAACTCGTGGCCTCAAATTGTTGACAAGGAAGCAACAAAACATGCAGGCTGGAAACTTACGAAGAGTGGGCTACTATTTGCTCAACATACAAGTGATGACGACGACGATGGAGACTGGAGTCGGCCGAGTCGTTCGGCTCTGTCTTTCAACGTACCTTTCGTGCATTCTGGTGCGCTTAACTTGACTTACAAGCTGAGTGGCGTTCCCACATTCCAAGACGATGGATCTCGTGCGTGGGTAGAGCTGGAAATCCGCGACGCTGGCGATAGTACCACGAAATCCAAGAAGGAAGCGGATATTCCTAGTGCTCCTGGAAGCTATGACTTGGACGGCAGCAGCAGTGGAGCAGGTGAGAACAAGAATGTTGTTCACTTGCTTCACGGTGGGGAGAATGGCACGTTCACTGAGATTATCCCGGTCAATGTGACGACTTCATTGGTCAAAGAATTCGCATTTGTAGTGCGCTCTACTAGTGCGGAAGGCAAGCGTGCGATCGAGGCGAAAGTGACGTATCTAGGCTTTACGGGCACTCAAGAAGGCGCTGGTGTGAGCTGTGATAGCTGTCCGTCCGGATATGAACCGGTTAACTCGGATGATGACTCGCAAATGAGCTGTCGTATCTGCCCAGCTGGTACGTTCGCAGAAGCTGGAGACTCAACTGGGATCGTCGCGTGTGCTGAGTGTCCAGCCAATACGTACTCGAAAGAAGGAGCTTCGCAGTGTACTCCATGTGGCGAGAACACGTACAGTAGTCCCGGTGCAGTGGCCTGTGCTGCTCCCCAAGCACTAACACTGAATGCTAGTGCGTCATCGGAATCAGTGATGCTGTCTTCGTCAGCGTCGTCTGATGCCGTGTCTTCGGCGCTTAGTGGTCTGCAGGTGACGTACAATTTGTCACTTCTCGAGGCGCTAGTGTGGGGTAATGAGAGCTGGATTTTGGACGATACGGTGTACGGGAACTCGACGAGCTTGCAGTCTATTAAGCCAGTGGAGTCGTCGATGGCTTTCCAGGCTGACGGCCAGAATTACTGGTTCGCAGGGCTGTTCCGTCCTCTTGGAAGTGGCTGGTTGGAGCAAGTACCTGGTCAGATTGTGGACCAAGAAGTAGACACAACGAAGGAGGTGGCTCATGTGGTTTTCGCTACTATGGTTAACCCTCGTGAAGCTGGCCGATACTTCCAACAGAACAGCGGAGTCTACGGCAACGTCATGTGCTCCGCTCCATCGGTATGTCGCTTTTGACCTTGTATATCTCCTTAAAGTATTTATCTAATCTGTGGTGTGTTGCAGCAATGGAAACTCGTGAATGGTGGCAGTCATATGGATATTTTACCGCTGGAGTCTGGTGCTGGTGTCAAGGTATCCTTCACTAACGGATCCCCTTGTGTTAACGGCAAGACGATGTCCACTACATTCAATTTTGAATGTGATCTTAACAGCGGTAAGCATGATGAACCCATCAATTAAAGTTCGTAAAGTGATGCTAACGAGTTATTTGCAGGTACTACAAGCAAGCCAGCGTCTGCGTCACAGGATGATGACGACAAGTGCAACTGGAATATCGTCTGGAAGACTGCGTACGCGTGTCCTGTGTGCGACGACGACTACTTCAATGAGCTTCGTTCGACTTGCAATGGCGGCGAGCAGTTGGTCTCGTATGCTCGCAAGTTGGCGTGCTACGGAGGCTCCGAGTCGGAGAGTACGGAGACCATTTCGACGTGCACGGA